AGCTGATGGGGCTAATCAGCACATGGGCAATAACTATGAAATATTAGGTAATAAAGGTAGGAAATTTTGGCAGGGCACTGGTGAGGCTGAGCTTCTCCCAAAGCCATTAAGGCTGCTGTGACATTCAGGCTTTCCTGAGGAGTTTAGTTGATTCATTTAGTTTGAGCCTCACAGTTTTGGGGTGTGCTGATCTGTTGTTGCTTCTCCTCTCCACATGCTGGGTCTTTGGCCGTGAATGAAACAAAGCAGAACTTCTTAACAACGTTTCCACATTTATGAAAGACCAAAAGCACCGCAGGGAACAGAGCTTGCCGCTCAAGTCACCTGGGCTTCGTAAAGTTAACTTACAGCATTGAATTCCAGTGACTGCCTATGTGGCCTGAAGGCCCAATCCCATAGCCGTGGGGATGGCCGCTGGAGACACGGGCACATTCAATGTTCACTTCAAGTATAGGTGTAATCATATATTGAGAATCCCTCATAGCCAGCCATTAGGGATGTTTCTTTAAGGCAGCGCAGACTGGTGCTTCTGCAGGTTTCCTGTTTTAAACAGCTGGTGAAATATCTACAGCTAATCAAATGCTGCAGAGACGGCCAAGTGTTGTCACTCTTCCATGGTTTGCAGATCTCTCTTGAAAAGTGAGTATACCCTGCTTTTCCTACCCGCTCTTCTGTTGGCAGATGTTCTGTATTCCTCTTTTTCAACACACACCAATATGGCAATGGCCTTGTTTCTCAGAAGTACCCTCTACATTGGCACAAGCTTTGTTCCTCTGTGTGGGCACGTCTGGCTCAACTTTTATTTATTTCAATTTAAATAATTAAAAACACCAAATGCACCATTAACACAACATCTAGATCTCAGCAGCATCAAATGATCAATTCAACTGGAGCTCAGCCCGCCACCTCCACAAACACCTTTCTGTCCCTTTATCGTCTAGGAAGCATGTCCTCAGCCTTCTTCCCAAATCCTACCATACTGTCTTTTTAGTGTGCCCAGGTCTATTTCTAACCAAAGGAGAGCATGTTCCAGAGTCTTGAACCCCCACAGAGAATGCCTTGCCATACACCCCTTCTAGTTTATAAGGAGGGGATCTCCCTGCTGACCATAGCTGTGGCCAATGGCATGGGGACAGAGACATGTGAAACCACATTTTTAGCAAGGGGTAGATGTATTGGTACTTTGATGTTCAAATGGATAATTAGAATACAGGAAAGATTCCTTACTTGTAATAGTAATTTTAAAGTGTGCTCACATTTGGAACCTAAGGTACGTGCCTGTCCTCATTTTTTATTTTACTTTATTGTCCAGTACTTGTGGGAGCGGCCAGCGGTCACAGGCAGGATGCATGCCCCGTGCCAGTGGGCGCTGGGCAGTGACAGTCCCTTCCCTGAGGAGTTTACAGTCAGAAAGTAAAGTTACACACTTTAACCACTGGATGGCCCAGGGACCTCAAACTCCCTTCTCAATCCCAGATGGGATCCCTCTGCCGTAACCCAGAGTGCATTGGTAGTGCGGTGCTGGGGGGATGCTTACATTTCTGTGCGTGTGTGGGAGCAAATGGGACTTTGGCCTCTGTGGCTAATAATCTAGTACCTTTCACAAGCACTAAAGCCCCACAAATGTGTGAGGTGGGGCAGAGCTGCATTCCCTCTGTGCACAGAGATGGTCGTGTCACGCCCACTGCTATTAATCAGTGCGTGTACAACTGCCTGTACTTTGAATTGTTGCTTAATAAGATGAATTGTCATCTCGGGGCATATGCAAAGTAACTTCCACTTCTGCTGCTGCATAACGAAGCAATGAAACAGCGCAGGGCAAAGTGCACCGCCACTCATTCATCCGTGGACTCTGAATCGTGATGGAGCGAAGGAATGACACAACGGCTCAGGTGGAAAGCTTTTGGAAGCAAGGTGAAAGGTCAGATGACAGCAGTTTTGTTTTTGTGAATGTCTGACAAACAGCACTTCGGTTCTTGGAATTTTTCTGGCACACACTAAGTGCTACCATTCAACCAAGTCCCTCCCCCAACACCTGGCATTGACTCTCAATGTCTGAAAAGAGAGGTTAAACGGAGAGGTCACAATCATGCTGGAAACAGCCTGCCTCAACAGAGACCTTGAAATACCTGCTCTCTCTCTCTGCTGATTAAAATTCTCTCAAAGGCATGTAAAAAGTGGTGGCTTTCATGAGCTTTTTATTCTCTCTCAAAATCTGAAGATGTTTTTTCTCCTTACCTGAGGAGGTTGTGAAGGCTAGGACTATAACAGAGTTTAAAAGAGAACTGGATAAATTCATGGTGGTTAAGTCCATTAATGGCTATTAGCCAGGACGGGTGAGGAATGGTGTCCCTAGCCTCTGTTTGTCAGAGGGGAGATGGATGGCAGGAGAGAGATCACTTGATCATTGCCTATTAGGTTCACTCCCTCTGGGGCACCTGGCATTGGCCACTGTCGGTAGACAGGATACTGGGCTAGATGGACCTTTGGTCTGACCTGGTACAGCCTTTCTTATGTTCTTATGTTATGGAATGCTTCAGATTTCCAGGGTGAATGAGAAGAAAATGCTTCAGTCATCAAGCTTTTCATAACACCTTGTGGAGTACGTCTTAGTCTTCCTGAACAGTATTTACATGTGAATCTCAAGGAAACCAGCGTGACCCCTTTGTTTATAAACTTAAACAATCTATGTAGTGGGGCTAGTAAACAAGGAGGAAGGATGGTCTTACAGTCATTGGCTTGGGACTCAGGACATCTGGGTTCAGTTCGGCACTTCCCACAGGCTCCCTGGGTGACCTTAAACAAGAATCTATGCCTCATTTCCCCATCGGTACAACGGAGCTGTTACTTGCTATGAGGGTGCATTCGTTAATGTTTGTGAGGAGCTCAGATACTGCAGTGATAAGGTCTGAGACACATAAACCCCAAGATTAATGAGATGAAATGAAGAAAAGCTGCATATTGGAGGAAAAACTTTCTAGATCGGTTTAGACTGTGGAAAGAGCTTCCCAGGGACAGAAGTACAGATTCCAGCCCTGGATACTCGATGTGCGGTAAGGAGCAATCCTACACTGCCATGGCAAAGTGATTTGATCAGCTACTGAAATAGGTCTTTTTGTCTCCCTGATGGAGGACGTTGACCTTTGGGCTTTTTGTGACTTTTATTTTGGGTAGGAGGGGGTTATGTTCTTGAACCAAAGCTGCAGTATCTCATTCACAGTCAGCAAAAGCCTGGGTTGCAGCTTACGCTGTCAGTAAAGTACTTACAGAGCAGTTACAGAGTAATGGAATGTAATCAGACTAGCGGGGTCGCAGTAAGATGTCAAGGGTGAAGAGATGCAATATTCTTGGCTGTCATGTCCATGGGAGAGAGCATTGAGGGAGCAGACAGGAACCCAAATGCATCCTTTTAAGAACCTAGAGGCATCTGTGACATAAACCCAGTGAAGTCAGAGTAGGAATAAATTGGGGCGCGAGAGAGAGGGTCTGTCAGATGTTCATCCTCGTGATTATGAAAGGGGGAAGTAGACCTGCCAGCCTGGATCAAACTCATGCTCCATCTAGTCCAGTATCCACTCTCTTCAGAGGATGGTGCAGGAAGCCCCACAGTAGGCCGAGGTGGGGTAATTTCTTCCCATAAAGGTCCCATCCTGAGTCCTAATAGAAATTGGCTTAACTCCTAATAAATAAGGTTTCATTGCCCTTCCAAAACTCTTTCCATTACCATTAACTACTATTAACTCCGGTTATTCTTGTTACCAGATAAATATCCAATCCCTCTTTGAATCTTGCTAAGTTCTTTCTCTCAAACCCATCCTTTTGCAATAAGTTCCACGGACTTAAGTAAGGAAATTTCTTTTGCTAAGGACAATCTTATGTAAGCAAAACCGGGGAAGCTCAACATTCTACATTGCAAGCACCTCTAGCGGGCACATTTGTGTGATTGTATCTGAGCAATTTAGCCCTGCTGGAATGTCTTGGGACTAACAGGAAAATGTGGGTTTCCAGGGCACAGATGCTGGCGCCCAGCGTTCTGTTCCCAGCAACCAGTCTCTCATTCTGAGCTGTAGCTGATCAGTTTGGAAGTGAAGAACTCAGCTGAAAAGACCCCGCCTCCCAAGATGTAGGAGTGGTTCTGTTTGGTGAGAGGATGATGGTGCTTAGGGCCACTTTGCTGGGAAGCCCTTTTTCCTTGTCAAGTGTTCCGACCGTGTGGAGCGATGCTGCTGCCATCTTGGAAGAGAAAGAGTGTTACTGAAGGCATCAATGTTGCAGCTTCCTCCATCTGCACTGTGCTCTCAGCTTCTCTAACTGCCCCTGGAGAAGGTGCCAGTACCAGCAGTAGGATGACCAGATGGCAAATGTGAAAAATTGGGACCAGAGTGGGGGGTAATCGGCGCCTATATAAGAAAAAGCCCCAAATATCAGGACTGTCCCTATAAAATCGGGACATCTGGTCACCCTAACCCGCAGGATGCGAGGGCAGGGCGGAGGTGGGCTATGGGCTGTTGCTAACCAGATATAAACTTCTCTGCAACTGAAACTGAGACATAGCCCGGCTGGCTCTGAATGCAGCGGAGGGTGGGTGGGCACCTGGTGAGTTGGAGCCAGGCGGTGGCAGGGGCCTGCCCGGGGTTGTGTATTGCCTGCTCCCGGGGTGGTGGTCGCAGGAGCTGGCTAAGGAGGCCGGCAGGTTTCCCGCTGACTTGATAGCCCTTGTCTTCCCAATGCTGCTCAAGCACTTGGCTGAACCTCCAGGCAGCCCTGTGTGAATGTTCTAGCAGGCCAGGCCCCGGGTGGGGGCCACAGGCTAACTTGGCTGGTCTAAGGAGCCAGTGCAGACGGGGGGTCGAGCCCAGGAGTCCCAGCGCCTGCTCTAACCGGGGGGAGGAAGGCGCCTCTCAGTCTTGATCTGTGTCTGAAAACTTCCTTGGCAGAGCCTGCAAAGCGGCAGGCGGGGCAAAGGCTCCGGCTCCGCCTCTGGGGGAGCAGCTCCACCCGGGAGCGGGTCGTGTTGACTCAGGCTGGGCACGGGAGAGTGGCCCTGGGGACGAAAGTCGGCGACCTTTGCATGGGGGCCGGGGATCGTGCGCTGCGGGCTGGGCTGGATTCGGGGCAACTGACCGGCCCGGGCGCTTGCGGGGGACGTTTGTCCGCTTCCCTCTGGCCCCAGCGGGGAGCAGGGGTGGGAGGCCGCTGGGAGCGGAATAGCAGCCGGGCCCCTTCGCGATGCAGCTGCCCGCGGTCCCGGGGGCCGTCGGCCTGTCCCTCGCCGCCTTCCCTGTGTCCTACGCGCTGAACTGCATCGCTGCCTTGGCGCAGTAAGTACCCGGCCTGCGCTGCGCTGCGCTCCCTGCGCGCTGGGCGCAGGCTGCGCCTCCCGGGCTAGCTAGTGGGATTGTGAGCTCTCTGGCCGAGGGCCTAGTCTGTCTGTGCAGCGCCTGGCGCAAGGGGGCCCTGATCTCTTGGGGGCCCTGTGGGTGTTGTTGTAATTACTGCCAATAAGGACAGTGGCCGGGGAGCCTCTGCGAGGCACTTTAGACCACACTTGCTCACATCTCCCCCATCACTGGTATTTTGGGGGTTACCTTTTACGGCCAGGCACAGACTGTTCTCCACCTCTTGCCATACTGGAGCATGGCTGCTTTAAATAGACCCAGAGACTAGTTCACACCCCAGGTGTTTAGCCTGAATTCCACTCGTCTGTATGCGCTGGGGTTGGGGGACCCTCAGCCTGGCTTAACGCAGGTTGTCCTCTGCTGTCTTGCAGTCTGTGGGCTGCAGATGAGCTCCCTGGCTGAGGGGTGATACTTTGGGAGTGGAAGCTGTTAACGCCGCCTGTTGAATGCCAGAATTAGCAATGGCTTTCACTCTTTTTGCAGCAGGGTTAAAGGCTTTAGTGGAAAATGCCTTAATATTTTCAGCTTTGTAGCTCACAAAGCAAAAGCAGTAGTTGTGCTGGTCCTGTAGCTCTTACAACTAATGAAATTGCTTCTTGGAAGAAGAGAGGAGAGCTCAGGATGGATTTCCCTACAACTTACCCTCTGTCCTAGCACAAATTTGCAATATCTTTCCCCTCATTATAGATTCGCTTTCTAATCGGTTGACATGGTCTCTGATAATAGCGCAGCAGCTAATGGCCATCCATATTCAGATGGGATGGCAGCGCCGCCTCTGAGAAGGGAGATGGAAATCTTAATGATTTCAACTAAAATGACATTTCAGAATAAAACCCGGCATGTGGCGCCTGCCTTGGCATTTTGCCCATTGTAACAATGGCCTGGACGGTTGGGAGACGGGCCCCTATCTTTGTACTTGTGCAGGAGACTTCTCGAAGCAGCCCCTGCTGTGATGCAGGGTCTGAATTTCAGGAGGAGACAGTGCCTGTCATTTCCCTCCATGCTCAGTTATGTCAGACCTTGGGCAAGTCATTTCCCTTCTTTGTGCCTCAGTTTCCCCTACCACCCTTTGCCCTGTCTACTTAGACTGTAGGCTCTTTGGGGCAGGAACCATCCCTTATGTGTCTCTGCAGTGCCCTGATCTTGGCTAGGGCTTCTAGGTGCTACCATAATATAAATAATAATCGACATGGACCTATGGTTCTCTCTCTACTCTTGTTTTCCTCTCCCGAGTGATGGAATCGCCTCGGATTCATCACAAAGCCCCTTGTCACCGAGCAGAGCTCTGTCCTGTTCCCACGGGAGCAAAGGGGTCTCCTGGCTCTGAGAAGAGCAAAATTGGATGGGTTACATCACTGTAAACCTCTGCTTGTTCCTAGCACCCTGTATGTTGGGGGTATTTCCCCACCCAGGGTCCCGCCCAACCCCACAAAGTCAGCAGACAGGCAGGACTCCCTCTGACTGCAGGGGATGTTGGATCAGGCCCTTGCTGAGAGTGTTTGAACTCAGTGTGCCTGGCTCTGGTCTGGTCGGACCTGCCCTGCCTCCTGGATGCTGCCGTGTGCTCTGTTCAGCCTGAGGGCTCGGCCTTCGGCCTGCCCCGGCGCGTAGGCTGGCTGGACTTTGAACCCTGCTGCATCCAGCGGCTGGTGTTGGCAAAACCCCTCCTGCCCCAGCCTTCCAAAAGCAAAACCCCAGGCAGCAGGAAGATCCTTCGCTTTCTACAGAGTCCCCACCCTCCACCCAAGGCGGCAGTGCTACGCAGGGTCCCAGCTGGGAGCTGTCGCCCAGTGGGTTTGCCCAAGGGATCCCAGCCGGACAGTTGTACTTTATTGGGGGTCCAGGCACCACTGGAGCCCCGAGAGCTGAGGCCTCACCCTTGGGTCCATGGTTCCTGCACTTGGGGCTGGGTCGGTGGGGAGGGGGGCTCTAAGTCACCCCTGGGGTCCCCACCTCCTGGGTCTCTGCCTGGCCCCTGGTGCAAGTTAGAGCAGCCTCAGGGAAGGGGCAAATCTCCCTAGGGGGAGCTGTTCTCTGCCAGGTGCCCTTAGACCCCGGGCCAAGGGCACTAGCCAGGGAATGAGCCCTGCATTTGCCTTCATAGCCGCATTCATCCAGCAAAGCCTTTTCCCTGCTTCGGTGCCTGTGTGCAATACGGGTGATGCCGTCCCCTCTCTGCTCCGCGGGGGCCCATGCTGCCCGGTTCATGATGCAGCGCAGAGCTCTGGGGAGGAGGCAGCTTGGTTAGGACTAGGGTCTGAAACGCGTTGCCATGGGATGGCCGATTGCTGTCCCCCTCCCTCCTGCTCCCGGAAAGCTGGGAGGCCCCCTTACAGCCTGGGCTGATTTGGGGGAGCCCAGGGCTTTGCTGGACGTGTGTGTCCTTAGAGGGCCTTACAGCAGCCCGAGCATGCGTCCGCTGAGCTCTCCCTGCTGGTGCTGCTGTTCCTACACGTCCCCAGCCCTTCACTGAAACCCTTCGAATGCGGCAATACCTCACCTTTGACCTCTTGCCCCCAACGTCAGCCGGGCAAGCCGGGGGCTGCTAGACAGCAAAGGGCCAGGGCATTAATTAGCTCCCCAGGTGCCCTTGCCTGGGCGAGGCGTGTGAAACCTGCTAGCGTGCAGGGAACAGCCCGCAGATCGAGAGCCTGGGCAGTCAGTCTGCTGTTTGAACCGGGTCTGCCGGGCGCTGGCGTTTCTTTCCCTGCGATGTGCTGTATGATGAAAGGGGAGGGGGGTGTAAACCCAGGAGGGTGGCTGGTTCCTGGCGCTGACAAGTCCTGCCTCTGGTTTAAAATACTGAAGATTCAAATCCAGCTAAGGTTAAAATATCCCTGCTGATGTTCTAGCTGTTTGGGATCAAATCCTTAGCTGGTGTAAGGCAGCATTGCTGCACTGAAGTCAATGGGGCTCCCCGGACTTACATCAGCTGACCCGCCAGACCGACTGTAAAAGGGCTGTGATGGGGGGAACAGGGGCACTGGGGCTAAGATTGTCAAATCAGTCTGATCCCAGCATGTTAAAGGGGCCAGCTGGTCAGACAGTGCTGGGCACCGACCCTCTGAAACGCAGGCCCCTTTAAGGTGTCTCAAGTTGGGTGCCCAAAATTGTTCACCAGATCTTGTGCCTGTGCCTGTATGAGCCCCCCAAAAGTGCCATCTGCTAAGCCACAGGGCCCTGCTTGTTACCAGGGCCACGGAACAGGAGGGGGTGCAGGGCTCAGATTCTGCCGACTGTCACGGGTACAAATCTAGAGCAACCCCTCGGAATTGAGCTGCGGTGAGTGAGATCAGAACCCAGGCTGTGGCCTCTTCCCCGCTCGGCCAACAGGGTCGTGGGGACTGGTGGAAACTGAGGCACGAAGCAGGGGGGCGGGGGAAGCCTGGCCCCATTGAACTCAATGGCCAAACTCCCATTGACTCCATCCACGGTCTTCAGTCTCCTCTGCGGATGGGCTCCATGCCCCGAGCGCGGTGATAAGGGGGGACAGGACAGTTAATCGGGCCAGAGGCTGGGCAGGGGGTTTGCCCGGCCCTCAGCAGCCCCTTGCGTCACGCTGCGAGAGTCTGACCTGTCCCTTGCCGGCGTGTATTACAGCCCAGTGGCTATCGCGGTGACGGGGGCGCTGGTGTTGCTGGTTCTGTTCTGCATGGTGTATCTCCTGGGCGAAGGGAGCCATTCCCAGGATCCCCTCTTCTACGGTGAGTCTCGGCGGGGGGGGGCCCTGCTTAGTGACCCCCTCCTGTCTCCTGTTTCACCTACCTGGGCAAGAGAGGCAAGAGCAAGCCAATGTGGTTGGAGGAGCCCTGGGTCTCTGTAGGCGGCAGATGGGTGGGCGAGGTTCAGGGGGATTGAAGCCGCGTCAGGGAAGGTGCTGGTGGGTCTGGATGGTGCAGGGGATGCGCGGTGGCCCAGATCTAGCCCTGGCTGCCAGTGACTGGAGGCTGCTCCCATGTGACGGCCGTCAGGCAGCCCGTGGGGCGGGAGGGCCCAGCTCAGTCCCCAGGCGAAAGGTGCCTGCCTGGCAAAAACATCACATCAGCTGGCACACCCGGGCCCCGGGGGGGGGGGGGGGGGGGGGGGGGGCGGGGGGGGGGGGCGCCGGAGCAGTGGAGTGAGATTGGAAGGGGTCTCCATTGCCAAAGCAGCAATGAATGAGCCAGTCTCCCACCGAAGGGCATCGAGGGCAGTTCCAGGGCTGAGCCCCACAAGCAGGATGGACTCAGCCAGAGACCCCGCCCCTGCCCCCCTGGCTTGTGCCCCTTATGCTCTGGGGAGCGGAGAATTCCCCAGCTGACAGGCGAGGCTGGGACCTGTCACTGCAATTGCAGGTCCCCTCTGAGCTGGGGAGAGGCCTGTGTGTTTGGGGGGCCCAGGGCAGCCTGGCAGGGAGGTGAGCCTGCCTCCCTCTCTCCCCGCCTGCAGTGTTCACGGTGTTCTCCTTCACCTCCGTCATCGACCTGATCATCTCACTGGAGGAGGATGGCTACATCAGCGGCTTCATGGAGTTCTACATGAAGGAGGTACCACCCCGGCTGCCGTCACGCGCCCAGGATTCCCAGAACATCACGCTGCCCTGGCCAGACCCCATGGCATCCCATCCCTGCTCCCTTACAAACACCATGGGCCTGATCCCCTGCGGGCAGGCCCTTCCCCCGGTGCAGAGGGCGGTTAAAGCCACGCTGCACTCATTGGCACAGGTCTAAGCAACCGCGGTGGAGATCTCTGAGCCCTTGTTCCTTTAAACGAGCTGTGGCACAGCTCCGTCTCCTAAGCCCCCCGCAGCTCCCCATGCCCGGCACTGGCCCCTGGGTAGAGCAACCAGATGGGGGCAGGCACATGTGGGCATTGGGCTGAGCGGGTCCAGCTCTGGAGCCTGCGTCGTCATGCCCAGCTGGGGAAGTGACTTGATGCCTTTCTGGTGGGCAGGGCGAGCCGTACCTACGCACGGCTTACGGCATCATGATCTGTTACTGGGACGGCATCGTGCACTACCTGCTCTACCTCGCCATGATCGTAGCCATCACACAAAGGTAAGAGGGGACTGGCACTGCAGGCGATTCGGATCTCCTGTTCATTCCCTGGGCATTGCATGGCTGCTTCCAAGCGGTGGGCAGAGGAGAGTGGGGGTTGCTTTTTGCTGGAACAGTCTGGGGAGGGGGCCAAGTGGGGGCACTAGGGGAACCATAGTCAACCGTCCCGTAGTATTTTGCACAAGGTCCCAGCCAGGATTGGAAGCCGCAGGAATCTCCTGCATGGGCCTGTTCTCGGGGGACCTCCCGGCCGTGGGCACGGAGAGCCGGGCTGAGTAACCGACCCGAACTCCAGCCCTCTTGGCATCCGATGCTAGTGCAGGAGCAGTGGGGAGCTCCGGTCAGTACAGGGCAGCAGCCCAGGTCCTCCCAGGGGGAGTGAGGGAGTCTCCGGGCATGGATGTGCCCTGCCCAGCTGGTAGCAGCCCTGTGAGCAATGGGCAGCGCCTGGAGCCAATGTGAGGAAGAATTCCCGGGCTGGTGGGGGCCTGCAGCCAGGGCGTTCTGGGTGGTGGGAGGCCAGGCAGGGTAGCAATCCCCTTCTGGTGCTGGTATGCTGCTAGGGAGGAGCGGCTGTTGGAGGGGAGGCTGCTCTGGGGTGGCGGAGTGCCCATCTGAACCCACACGCTGTGACGTGGCAGGGCTGACCCCACCTTGCCACTAACCCGGGAGAGCAGGCGAGGGGAAGAACCCTATGAACTCAGCAGGGGTTGAGTGATGAGGTGAGGTGGGAAAGGCTGATCTGAGCCCCAAGAGGGTGTTGAATTTCCACTGTCTCCCCAGGAAGAACTACAGGACACTGGGTCTCTACTGGCTGGGCTCCCTGATGATGAGCATTGTCGTCTTCCTGCCTGGGAACATGTTAGGTAAGGGGGGCCTGCCAGGGACAAGCCCCGGGGAGCTACCCTCTGCTATGAGCTCTGGTCTGGTGGGGGTCGGTCTGTGTCCTTCCCACGTTGCCCGTGCTCCGCTCTACCTCTGCAGGGACACACCCCAGAGCCGCGGGTTCAAGTCCAGCATGCATCACTAAAACCGGCACTGACAGGCCCCCTTGGTGGCAGAGAAGCCGGGGTGTGTGTGGGGCAGGAACCCCCTTCTCCCATCCCGTCGAGGTGGAAAGGTGCAGGGGGGATGTGGGAGGAGTGGGACGTTGCTACGCGCTCTCCATGGGGTTAACCAAAGGCACCGGTCTCTAGGGCTGGTCTTGCTGCATGGACAACTGGGGACTCTTCTCTCTTAGGGAAGTACAGCTCTGAGATCCGCCCCTCCTTCCTCCTCAACGTGCCCTACATCCTGATCCCAATCTGGGCTGGGATGAGACTCTTCAGCCAGCCAAAACCCCTTCCCTGCTGCACTGCTGAGAAGGTAGGCGGGTCGGCGGGCTGGGGGTCCCCAGCTGGGGCAGGTGGCCTGCGAGAGGCATGCAGGTGTTGGTGACTGGGCAGGGGATGCCCTGGCCCTGTGCGGAGCCAACCCCCTGCCTGTGGCTAGGGAGTCTGCAGGCGACATCTTCCATTGGGGCTAGGACACCGAGTTGCTGGGCCCTTGGGATCATTACAGAGCATTGGGGTGCTGTTTCCAGCGCCGGGTACCCCTTCTCCACCACTGGCCTCCATCCGAGCTAAGGGCTTGGTTAGGGTTCAAGCTGCTGATTGTTTTTTCCCATATTCCAGCCCTGTATTTTACACCGTTGTTTGGGAAAAACCCCGTTTTGGAGGCTGGGGGTTGGTGAGCAAACCCAGCAGGAATTGCCCCAATCCCTTACCCATCCCTCATCACATGCACAGCTGGCACCCTTTTGCCAGGCTGGCGGGATGGCAAAATGCAGTTGCTTTTGGTGCCGGGTACAAACTAGGGTGGGGGGTAATAGGCGCCTATATAAGAAAAAGCCCCAAATATCGGGACTGTCCCTGTAGTAAAACGAACAGGAGTCCTTGCGGCACCTTAGAGACTAACAAATTTATTTGGGCATAAGCTTTCGTGGGCTAAAACCCACTTCATCGGATGCATGCAGTGGAAAATACAGTAGGTACATCTGGTCACCCTAGTCCAAACTCTCCACCTGTGAATGTGTCTGTGCGCTGCTGCCCCCTGCTGGTTGGTGTGTGTCTCACCCGCTCAGGCTTGTCCGCTCCCTTTGCTAGCTGAGCAGAGGTGCTGCTTTGGCACCATTAGGCCTGGGGGCGTCTTCCGGTGCCCGTTGTGCCGGGCGCTGCACAGACACGGTGAGAGACAGGCCCTGCTCCAAGCTGAGTAGACAAGACGGGCCCAGGATCACTGAACAGAACCCAGGTCTCCTGCCTCCCATTCCGGTCCTGTCCTCTAGAGCCCATGCTGAGCTGTAGGTGTGAGTCCATTGCACCATGGACGGGAGCACGTCTGATTGCCCTGTCTAGGGATGGCTGCAGATCCCTTTGTCCTTAACCCACTGGGCTGGGGGATGAACGCAGCCCCGTCCATCCTCATCCCCCCTCCCTTCCTGCGGAGCTGGGCCTCTCTCTGGAAACCTCAGTAACCGGAGCAGACCTGGCAGGAGGTTCTCGCTGCCCGTTTAAAACCAGACTGTGCTGAGGCTGGGAATGGATCCACCACTGAAAGGGAGGAGATGCTGCCTGCCCTGAGCCGGACGCCCCTGGGGCTGCTGGCTCTGGATCGAGGTTTCTGCCCAGCCAGGGGGAGGCAAAGAGAACTGGCTTTTTAAATTTAGCCCGTTCAAGTTTCCCACTTAAAGGGCCAGCGTCCCAGTCCCTGACACCCACTGCGGCTGCTCGTGTTCAGGTTGCGGCGGAGCAGCAGAGGAGTCTGTATCAGCGGCCCCTGGACTTGGGCTTGATCCTGTTCCTGCTGGTGGCTGCGACGTTCACATTCTTCAGAGGGCTGGTAAGGGCTGGCCAGTCGGTGACTCCGCCAGAGGGTCGGGCTCCATTACGGGGAAAGGGGGGGGTTGTCTGGGGCCTGCGATGTGCAGCAGGTCAGACTAGATGATCATCATGGTCCCTTCTGGCCTTAAAGTCTGTGAGTGGGAGGGGCAGGGACAGGGGCCAGATCTCCCATGCATTCTGCTTATCTCACAGGGGCAGCTGGGCAGGGGGTAGATGTGGGGGTGGGGAATGGCCATGGGCTGTCAGATCTGGCTGTCCCGTGCACTCTGTGTCTCCTGGGGGTAACTGGGTGAGGGGGTCGGTGGCGGGGGATCAGAGCTGGCTTTCCCAGGCACTCTGCTTGTGTCTCCAGGTGGTCCTGGACTGTCCGTCCGATTCCTGCTTTGACTACATTTACCAGTACGAGCCATACCTGCGCGACCCCGTCGCCTACCCCAAAGTGCAGGTGAGTGCGGAGCCCGCTGGGGCCCAGCTGCTCTCGGTGCAGGTCCTTGCAGGCTGCTGGACAAAGGGTGGGAGAATGGCGGGATCGGTCTCCCCAGCGTCCAGGCCGGGAATTCAGGCCCAGAGAGATTCAGGGGGAGGCTCTATAAAGCGCCGTGGGATGCTGGAGTGTATAGACTTGTGCACCTAAATCCCTTAGGAGAGGGTGCTGCTTATTCATTTATTTTAACTGCCTGGGAACATTGGGGATTCTGGGGGCCTGAGATCTGGAGCATCCCGCTGGGCACTCCTGCAAGCGCAGGGCAGTTTTGCATCCAGGGTTCTGGTCCAGACCCCGCTCTGTTCTTGGACCCGCTTCCTTATTTCTCCCAGCCCCTGCCCTCTGCTCACAGTTTGCCCCGGCAGCGCCCTGCTCAGGCCTGTGCTGACCTCTCTCCCTTTGCTCCCAGATGCTGGTCTACATGTTCTACGTCCTCCCGTTCTTCTGCCTGGGCATTTACGGGCTCCTGCGGCCTGGCTGCACGTGGCTGCCCGACTGGGCCCTGGTGTTTGCTGGAGCCGTAGCGCAGGTAACGAGGGGCCGGGGCTGGGATTTCCCTGGGGCACAGCAGACCCTGGGCCTGTTGTTAGGTGTATTGCAGTAGAGACCGCGGATGAGAACAGGGCCCCGTTCTGCTGGTGCTTCATCGACAGAGAGTGAGAGACAGTCCCTGCCCCCAGGTGCTCACAGTTTAGGGAGAGATGGGAGGGGGGTGGCGGGTGACTGGGCCAAGGCCACCCAGCCAGTCTGCGGCAGAGCTAGGAATAGAACCCAGGTGTCCTGAGGGTTTTTTTTTTCTTTAACTCAGTCTGATGTAAAGCGAGGGGAGGGGCAAGGGGAGGGCTCAGCCCCTGACCACGGGGGTCCCACAGAGGCTGGTAACCCAGCCCCTCCTCACTGCTGAGCCACACGAGGGCTCCAGCTCTAGAGTCGGGGGAGGAGATTAAAATGAGGCTTATCCCTCTTATTTTGTCCGTGGTTGCAGGGACGTTTGACTCCTGCCTGGGGTTCTGCGCTGATCTCTGTGGGTGTGGGAGGGGACAGACCTGGGGACGCGATGATCTGGAACCACAGCCGGCCCCTGTTTTACACCTGGAAATCGCTCTCTGCTCAAAGCACAGCGGGAGTTTGCTCTGAAACGTACCATTCCCCCTCCCCGCGGTGTTCCACTCAGCCCCTCTTCGGAGATGTGGCGAGAAGCCACTGAGATGGAGTCGCAGACCCGGCTCTCGGTGCCAGCTTCCCAGATCTTTCCTCGAGCCAGTGTCTCGGGGGAGGCCTAGGTTTCGGGCCACGGTCCCAGCAGCCTTTACACACCTCCCCCAGGCTGGCACAGGGCTCTGAACTGCAGGCAGCGCCTGCCTACTAGCTAGCCACGCTCCGTGGTTCAGCGAGAGCCATGCACCGAGCTGTCTCTGTAGGCGGGAGCCACGGGCAGGGCAGGGCCATTGCATCGCAGAGCTAGCGCCTCAAAGGGCCGGCGTGTCACTAGGCCAGTGCCCCTGCACGAGGCTCCTGGACAAGCGTGTTCTGACCTCTCACGATTCCGCCGTCCTTGGGTTTGCATGTGGAGCAGTTTCTATGGTAACGAGCAGAGCCTGATAATTACTCTCTCAACGGATGTTAATGGCGGACGTGGATTAGTTTCACAGAAATAGACTTGAGCCAGCGCCCCGTGTAGCTATCAATAGGGTACGGGGGAACACGCAGCCCTGCTATCAGCATGGGCAAGGCTGCCCCAGCGTAGCCCCGGGGCCGGCTAGCCCCAACCCCTTGGCCCAACAGTGACCAGTGCTGGATTCGTCAGGGGACAAACCCCGTTGTGTGCCTGGCTGTGTACCATTATCTTCCCAAGGCAATTCCTTCCTGACCTCAGCTGCTGACGTACTTATACGCCCTGGAGCATGAGGATGGCGCTTACCCTCTTTAATCCCTAGCTCTTGGCCCTGCTGGATTTATGCGTAACAGGGTCTCACAGGGCTGCGGGGGTGGGGAAGTGGGGCCAGGCCTTGAAAGGAGATCAGCCCTCACAACCCTTGTTGCTCTAAGTGGAGAATCTGCCCCTGCCCCCGTTGTTCGCGGTGGAGCTGCCGGGTGCGAGCCGTGTGAGAAGCCGCCCCCGTTGTTTGGGCGGGTTGCTGGGGCTGAGGTGGGAGCGTCTGGCCCTTGCAGTCTTGCGGACGTGAGTTCTGCTGGCGATTTCTCCATGGTGCAATAGAATCGAAGGTGCTTTCCCGTCAGCTGTCCTCTCGAACCTGGGGCCTGCACATGGGTGGGAGCCAGCACTGTCCGCTGGCGCCGCTGACTGCTCCGTGGCCAAGTCACTTCCCCTCTGTGGGGCTGGGGCCCCACCAGCCAGGGCTTCCCACTCACTGCAGAGGGAGGGGCTGGCGGGGGGCTCACGGGGCAGGTGCCGTGGGCAGCGTCTCCCGTCACCCTGCTCCTCTTGTGCATTTCAGGCCCAGTTCTCCCACATGGGCTCCTCCCTGCACCACCGCACCCCCTATCCCTACCGCACCCCGGAGGAGGTCTGGTGGGTCTTCCTCCTCACCAACGTCCTCTACGCGCTGGGCCCGCACCTCCTCGCCTACCACTGCCTCCGCAGCCCCGGCTTCTTCCAGCCAGCTGCTCCCACCGGCCAGGACGGGATCAAGAAGCATCAGTGAGGAGAGAGCTTGGCTCCTGCCTCCAGTGCCTGGACATTGCAAGGAGGAGCTGCTACCCGTCACCACCACACACACACCACGGGCCCCAGTACGCTCAGCCTGGCTGGGGGCAGCGGGATGCCGAAATCTCCGTCCCTGCTGGGTTAGCAGCCAGGCCATGCGGCTCCAGGGGACAAGCCGCTGAGGGGAAGGAGGATCCCTGCTTTGGGGGTGGGGGGAGTTTCACAGCAGGCGTTCGGGGATTTTGTGCATGGCAGGGTCTTGTTTCTCCTCTTTGGCTCTGGGCTCCCCCCCCCGCCCCATCCTTCATGGAGCTCTGCGGCTCTTCTCAAGGCCTGATTGGCCCGTCAGCCTCTCAGCGGCACTCCTCACCCCGCCAGAGGGGAGCGCTATGGAGTGCGGGCGTGAGTCTCCCTCCCCTCCCCAGCACCAGCCACCAGGCCCAGGGGTGCGAAGTGGTTGCTCTGAGCCCTCTTCCCCCCGCCTCCCTGTTGGCCTTTGCTTTGGGGCCCTTAATGGTGTTGGCACCCATGGGCCCTTCGGCAGGGACGTCCCTTGGGGTCCGGGCTGCTGCGGCACCAGGGGGAAGGTGATGGAGGCAGAGGTGCCTTGAGGCTGTGCCGGCTGCTGTGACCCTGGTGGTGTTTAGGGGGTTGGCTCTGGAGTGGCTGGCTGTGTCCTGGCTTGGGGGGCACCTGTCTCCCATCCCAAAGCCAGTTCCCACTGCCCTGCCCCTCTCGGTGCCATGGGGCACCCTGCAAGCTGCGTCTCCCTCAGGATTTTCTGCTCACCGTGTCCTGTTGTTCTGCAGAGACATGTCGGGGGTGGGGGAGGGAGGCTTTGTTCCCTAGCCATGCTGCAATGCTTAAAGGAGGGGGTGCCAGAGACCCTCCATAACAGATGGTTTACAGAATAAAATCATTTTGTGCTGTGACTTTTTAACCCTGCTGTGGCTGGATATTTTTTTCAGGCGCTCACAGTCCCTGCTGCGGGAGGTGGATCGATTTCCTGAACTGTGTTGTGTGGCTCTGACAACGGGGCTCACTGAGAAGTGCCCCGTTCCCCTGCCCCCGAGCCCTACGGTCTCCAGCCCCCGACAGGATGCTAGGGCCTCTCGACTGCCCTAAGCTCCAGTGCGTGGTTTGCTACAGAATAGGGCCCCCCTGCTTTCCACAACGGCCACTGGCGGGGCCTGGCTGAGCCCCCCCTCCCCCCAGCTGCAGCCAGGAGCAGTGGGGGCTTGGCCCCCCTAAGGAGCAGGTCTCATGTTGGGCCTGCACAGCTCCAAAGCAATGAACCCTTGTGGGACGGTGCCTGGCCAGGGGCGGGAGAAACCGGGCCCTTTCCCCACTGTTATCTCTTCACAGCCTCCCTGGGGCTGCAGTGTATGGGAGAGGGCTCGGTGGGGGAGGGGGGGCAGGGCTGGGTCTGTCTATCCCCCTCCAGGGTGGGAAAGAGATTCTTGACCCAAACCTGAGGGTTCCAGCCCACGATGCAGAATGGGGGATGATGTCCCACGTGCCTGCTGCTCCCCTCCCTGAGCCCCGCGCTCCCCCTTCTCCCACGCTGCCCCTGAGGCTCTGCTCAGGCACGACTCGAACGCTCCCCCTTCCAGGTCTGCACCAGGGCCTTCCCTCCCAGAAAAATGGGGATGAGCAGCCCAGCCCTCTGGGAGACAGCAGGGAGCGAAACGCCCCTCGAGCTGGGGCCAGGCTTTGGTGCCCAGCTGGCAGCTTTCACGTGGTAAATAAGCCCCCCGACTTTCACAATAAGCCAAAAATCAAGCGAATCCCATTTCAGAACAAGCCAATCCCTAAGAACCCCAACACTCTATGTGACTAGATCCCCCCGGCCTGCAGTCTGGGACTGGGGTGGGCCCGCTGCACCCCTGACTCTCTCCCCACCTTGCCCCTGCTTGCTGGGAGCCGATCAAAAAAAAAGCAACACGCTACGAGCCAAATGAGCTACAAGCCAAAAACTAGCCAACAAGCAGCTCACAAGCCAATTCAGCCAGAAACAAGCCCAATTTCTGCGTCGTCCCCCCCCCCCGGGTTTGGCAGGTCTGCTTTTGTGCTGCAGTACTGGGGGCTTGGATCCATGACACGGCGAGCTGCCCAGCCCAGCGAGGGCTCAGGACCCACATGCTTAGAGCGCAGGATGATGCAGGGCAGGGCGAGCGGCTGACAGGGACCAGCTCCAGCACTCCCCCCCCTGTGGCCAAAGTCGTGGCCTCTCCCATTAATGTGCATTCCCTGTACACATGCCGGCTAACACAGGAGCCTGGTGTGTGGGCCAGAGACCACGACCCATGCACCCAATGTAAGTGCTGAGGGCTGCCCTGGGAGCCAGAACTGGCTTTGGGAGAGGGTGGGTGCCTATAGCTCCGCGTGCGTGTGCACAGCCACACGTGCTTCTGTATGGTGTGTGTGCCCCATCGGGGGGCGTGTGCACAGCTGTGTGTCACTCACTTGTTTATACCAAGGGTTGGGGGCGGTTTTGCGGAACGCAAGCGAGTTTTCTGAAGCTTGGTGCTTTGGTGGGTTGGTTTGAAAGCCCGAGAGCTTTTAGGTGAGCCCAGCGACCCACGGGACTTGCTTCCTCTGCTGAGCCTGGCACTTCCCCCCCTCGGTGCCCTACGGCCCCAGGGCCCTAATTGGCACATGCCCGAAAAACAGACAGAGGCTGGGGTGTGACCCCCCCATCCAGGCTCTCGTGCCACCGCATGTGGCTGTGCAGCGTGAGCCCTGACTCCCAGGGGCCTGCTCCCAGCAGTGGGAGCCATCCCCACCCATGGGGCCTGCGTCAGTGACCCCCAGGGAGCAGGGCACTAGCCATGGCCAGCGGGCGGTGACCCCCAGCAGGTGTCTGCCCTCAGAAAGGCCCTGGTGCAGTGGCTGAGAAGTGGGGCATCGAGTGAGCAACGCCAAGGGGACTCGGCAGCCAGGCAGCAGGGACACAGCCCAGCCCACGCGCAAGGCGACATGCGGCCTGGGCCTGCTGTGGGTTAGCTCCTTCTGCTCGTACCACTGGCTACCCCATCTCCCTGTGAGATGAGGATTGAGCCCCGGCGGCCTGACTCCCAGCCCCCTGCTCCAGCCCCTGCAATGATGGCCGTGCTGCATGGCCCTTCCCCTGCCCCACCAGTGCCACAGCCTTGGCAGAAGGGGGGGGGTCTCCTGAGACGCCGCGATCAATGAGGGGGTCGTGTCCTCAGCCAGCTCCCCTTGCCCCACCGGCCGGGCAGCGGGGGTAAGCTCAGCATGAGGCGGAGGGGGCAGGGCTCTGGACCCCTTGCAGGTTACAGGTATCCCATCAGCCTGCCTGCTGCCCCCTAGCAGCCACAGCCCAGAACAGCACGCACCTGCTCTGCCTATAGCGCAGGGGGGCGAGGGCTTTGTGCCCACACGCCCCTGGCAGGTGGGCTGGGGAAGCTGGGCCGGCTGGTCTGGGCAGGGAGGCCCATGCCGCAGAGAGATGCCCAGGGTGAGTCTGGGAGGGGGGACCTGGGGAAAGAAGATGAAGGCGCCCAGGGGGCTTGTGGTTAAGGGCCCTGGGCCAGGAGCTCTGGGTTTAATGCCCAGCTCTGCCACTTTTCAGAGTAGCAGCCGTGTTAGTCTGTATCCGCAAAAAGAACAGGAGTACTTGTGGCACCTTAGAGACTAACAAATTTATTAGAGCATAAGCTTTCGTGGGCTACAACCCACTTCTTCGGATGCATATGCTCCTGTTCTTTTTGCAGCTCTGCCACTGACTCGCAGGGTGATCCTGGGCGAGTCACGGGGTCTCAGTTCTCCAGCTGAAAAATGGGGTGACTGACCCTTTGTCTGTCTGGTGCATTCAGACTGTGGGTTCTATGGGCAGGGACTGCCTCCTACTGGGTCTGCAAAGCGCCTGGCACGAGGGGCCCTGATCTGGGTGGGGGGGTCTCCAGGCACCCGGCACGAGGGGCTCTGAGGTGGGTGGGGGTCTCTAGCGCTCCCCTGCTCACTGTAGCAGACCCACCTCATGTCTCCCCCCACAGGCAGGGCATCCAGCTGTCTGCGGCACAGCCCCGGCTGCCAGCTCCCGGCAGTGACCGAGCCCGGCCCCTTCCCCCTTCCCCCGGCCCCCCCCCCCCCCCCCAGCCCATCCGCAGCCAGTAACTGCAGCGGCTCCAGCCTCTCCCCCCACCCCCCCGGTCCCGCTCCTCGCCTCCCTGCGGAACTTTCTCTCTGAGCAGGGACCCGGAGCCCCCTTCGCAGACCGGGCTGGGGGCGACCCAGCCAGGGGGAAGGAGCCAAGCCCGCGGGCCCCTCGCATGCACCGAGCCCACCTCCGCCAGCCGGGGGCTGCCCTGGGCCGGACCCCGCGCCCTGCCCCGGGACAATGGTGAGTGCGTCCCGCGGGGTCACCTTGGGCTGGGGGCGCTCCGCGGAGCCGGCTCAGGGGCCGGGGGGGGGGACAGAGAGCAGGACTAACGCCCCCCCCCCCGGGCCGATCTGCAGCTGGGGACCGGGCAGCCGAGCAGCCAGAGAGGATCTGCCACCCCCCCCGCCGGAGCTCCGGGGGCTGCCGGTGGAGCCGGTCCCACTGCGGGGCCCTGAGCCCGGCGGAACCGGGGCTGCTCTGCCCGGCTGCTGCCCCTGGATTCAGCTGCTCGTGCACGGGCGCACCGGCCCCCGGGGGATCGGCCCCCACGCCGCGGCCCGGATCGGGGCCTGCCGGGTACCCCGGGGCGCGCAGCTCCCAGCTCCGCCATCCGCTGCAGTGCAGCGCCTTGGGCCGGGCTGTCCCCAGCGGGGACCTCCCTGCCAGCCGCTGCGGAGGTTGTGTGTGTGTGTGTGTGTGTGTGTGTGTGTGTGTAGGTTAGCGGCGCCTGCACCCCACTGACACGCTGCATGCCCAGCCGGCCCGGGGGAGCTGGGGCCCGGGGGCATCATGCCATCCTAGCCCGCTCTGCCGAGACTGTCCTGGCGGCTGAGACCCATCCAACTCGTTCCGCAGAAAGCAGCCGCCAGATCTGCCCCAGGGGCCAGAGCTGGGTTTGTGCCAGGAACAAAGGCAAAGCGGCCTTACAGCCTGTCCCAGCCCCCGGTGTCTGCAGCGTGACCCCCAGCTCTTCCCATTGCGAGCACCCCAGAGCCAGGCCAGAAGGGACCCGCATGATCCTCCATCCCAGTACCCCACAGCCCGCCCCCACCGCCCTGGACTTAGACCTCCAGGGGACTTGGCCTTTGTGGGGCAGAGAACAGGAGGGACCCAGGTGCGCCAGTGGCCCCCCGCCCCACAATGGCAGGGAAATGGTTAAGTGAGATACACCCAGATAATCCAGGCAAGTGACCTGCACCCCACGCTGCAGAGGAAGGTGAATCCTCCCTCCCCCAAGGTCCCTCTGACCTGAGGAAAATTCCTGCCTGACCCCACACCTGGCGACCGGTTAGACCCTGCCTCAGCAAGTGGGCAAACATGGGCCTGAGAGAGAGAATACTCAGTGCCACCTTGTCTTCCCCACCCAGCGTCCCACCTCCAGCCAGGCCCATCCCTGATGCTTCAGAGGAAGGAGATTAAAAAAACCGCTCCCAGAACACATGGGGGGGGGGGGCGAGACGACCCTTCCTGACCCCTGCCAGTGGTGGGTGGAAACCCTGAAGCTTTGGGAACATAAGCCATAAACTGGAAGGGCCTCCCAGCGCTGCTGAGCCCTGCCCCCACCATCCCAGGCAACCCCACCACACCGTCCCACGCTGCCATTTGTCCAGCTCTCACTTCAAACTAAACACCTACAGCTCCTGGTGGGAGGCTGGCCCACACCCTGGTCCCAGGGGGGCGGGGGAGGGGATGGTGTAGGGTGGGGAGCTGTTTCCCTAGAAAGGAAAGTGAAAAAGAGGAGGAAGAAAATGTATGACGCCCTCTCATTGTGCCTGGATCCCCCAGCCCCCAAGGCTTTGTAGACCCGGGTGGGGGACCTTCTTTCTGAGGGGCACGCAGACGCCCTGGCTCCTGTTGCCAAGGAGAGAGACGCAGCTGAGCCGCAGGTCCCAGCCTGGAGGGGATGTTTGTGTGTCAGCAAAGTTGCCCCACTCTGCCCCCAAGGCCAGTGCTCTGCTCCGCTGCCCGGGGGCTGGCATTGACCCCGGGCCAAGCGGGCAGGACTCACCAGCGTTCCACACCCACGTGGCACGCCCGTCGCACAGGTGCAAGTGACTGGGAATCGCTGTCCCTTGGCATGGCCTCTTCCCACACCGGTGGAGGGACCCAGGGCTGCCCCCCGGGGGCAGTGGCCATCCTAGGGATGGACCATGGCCTCCTGTCCCACCCCAAAGCTTGTCCCGTCTCATGTGCCCAGCAGGTCCAGTGCTGGGAGGCAGGGTTCTGCCTTGGCAGCCACAGGGCAGGCTGGGACCTGGGCACCTGCCCCCCTCCTCCTCCCTTTGAACCCCCACATAAGGAAGGAGACAGCGAGTGCACCACTCCCAACATTATAGGGGGCCAGAGGATGGAATTGGGAATGGCCAACAATGTTCTCGAGCTGTGCTGGGGTTTTTTTGTGGGGGGGGGGGAAGGGGGGGCATTCAGGGAGCAGACACTGTAGCCCAGCCTCTCGGGAGGAGGGACGTGAGAGCAATTCCCAAGGAGTCCTGGTCTCAGAAACTGCTGGCCAACTAGCCAGCCGCTTTCTGTACCCAGCAGGGCCTAGTGGTCAGAGGACAGCTGGGTTCTAGCCCAGACTCTAAACGCTCAGCACTCCGATGGCCAGGGCTAGGATAGCAGGGGGCTGTGGGTTAGGACTGAGGGGTACCAGCAAAGCGAGGTGTGTGGGGGAGCCCAGAGCAGGGGGCTGCAGGTCAGGACTGAGGGGCACTGTGAGAGCTGGGGGGAAGGAGGGAGAGGGGAGCCCAGGGCTAGGATAGCAGGGGGCTGGGGGTGAGGACTGAAAGGCATCAGCTGAGTTATAATAGCAAGGATTACAAAATAACAAGAGTTTGGGGTTGGCTCTAACCCTCCTGTTTCAGGACATGCGCTGCCCTCTAGCATGGGGGTCAGGAGGGGACTTGCCCTGGGAGCCGGTTGTCCCGTCACTGCCGGGCTTTTACTGAAGCTGCTGGTGACAGGACACTGGCCTGGATGGACCCCATGGTGGAGCCAGTGGTTAATCATCACCATCACTTAAACATTTCCCATCCGACCGGGACGCAGGAATACGGGAATCGGGACAGCTTACCGAGGGCTGTGGGGGATTCTCCATCACTGACAATTTTGACGTCAAGACGGGATGTTTTTCTAACAGATCCGCTCTAGGAATTACTTCGGGGTAGGCTCTGGCCCTGTTATACAGGGATCAGACGAGATGATCACAATGGTCCCTTCTGGCCCTGGGATCTAGGAACCGATGAATCTCTGTGTAGCCAGGGTGTGGTCATGGCCCATGCTGGCTGGGAGGTGGAACATGAACCTCTGAGCTTGGAAGCAGCTGATTGGCCGCGTCTCATACACAGACTCCAGCTTCCATCCCGCCAGCCACATCCTCATTCTAAGGAGAAGCCTGTATAGATGCTCAGAGCAAAGGGGGCGGTTGGGGGCTCAGGGAGCCCCGTGGCGCAGCCTCCCCGGGGTGGAGCAGGCAGCCCAATTCGGTGGAGGCACCAATTGGGCACATTTCCCTCACGCAATGCAATTAACCGGCTTCAGAAATAATATTTTCGAGCAAAAGCTGAGCCCCCCCTGCTCAGCAGGGCAGGTAATAAGCACATTAGAGCCAATTTCATCACCTGCTCTTGATTCAATTTGCTTTAATCAGCCAGTGTAATGGTGTATGGCGCTCTGAGCTGGAGGCAACGAGGAGACAGCACCTCCTTTCCCTGGTGTGGGCATCCCCGGCGAAGCCGGGCTGGCACGGGCCTGTGCGGCAGTGGGATTCAGTCGTCACTGTAGGGCACTGGCTGGGAGCTAGCTGTGATACCGTGCGCTTGGGGACAGCCCAGCACGCTGCAAGCCCAACCGAAATCTAAACAGTAACTTGGGACGCTGGGACCCCCTGCAGGTGGGGCTGGGAGCCACGTGTCCAGCTGGGTGGAGCCCGCCCCATAGCGGTACCCACCTGCTGATGGGAGCAGCTGTGTATGCTCAGCTCACATGGATGCCACGGGGCTCTGGTCTGTGCTGTCCTCTAGTGATACTTAAACTGAGTCAGAGGGAGAGCCGTGCCCATCTGCATGGTCTTAAGGCACTTTACAAACAACCATCTCTCTCTCTCCATCCATCCATGGCCATATCATCTATCTATCTAACCCCGTGCACCCCCTCTATCTAATCTATCTATCTATCTATCTATCTATCCTTCTGTTTCTGCGTCTGTCAATCCCTTGGCATCTGTACCTCTCTGCTGTCTGTCTCTTGTACTCTCGTAATCTCCACCCTCCCTCGCTCTCTTGCACTCACCCCCAGTATCTGCCCCCGTCCCCGCTGTGTACCGGGTCACTCACACTCCATGCCAGGAAAGTCACTGTCCTGGGTGCTTTGGCCTTGGGCTGGTTCTGCCCTAACCTCGAATGAGTCCCCGCGGGCAGCTGGGGAGTTTGATGTCACTGTCCAACATCCCTTTGCACGAGGGTCAGCCAATGGAACTTCCACGCTCCCTTTGCTCTTCAACCCTGCGTAGGCACCGGGGGCTCTGGGGCAGGCCTGTAGGGAGCGCTGGTCTCTCTAGGGGCAGGAGAGCTCCCTGGCAGCCAGGAGTGAATGGGTGCTTCTCTTCTCTCTGCTAGATGCAGCCCATGTGCCGTGCCACCACCCTGCTACTTCTCATCGCCGTCCTCTCCTCCCCGCCGGCGCTCAGCGAGAGGGGGCGCAAGAAGGTCGTCCACGTGTCAGGTGAGTGAGGGGCTGGCTCGCCCAGCTCCCACCAGATGGGTCCCCCCGCCCTTTGCTCACTAAGGAGGTCTCAAGCGCGCCCACCCCAAGAAAATGGTCACCTCCGGGGGAGGGGAACAAAAAACGACCCACGCAGGGCTGGGAAGGGATAGTTCCAGCCCAGAGACATGGGGAACTGTTGTCATGGAAATATCACCCAAACCTTTTCCCCGAGGCACCAAATGGGGAAACTGAGGCACTGAGCAGAGTCACATGGCCAGTCAGCGGCAGAGCTGGGAATACAACCCTGGAGTGCCAACGGCCAGCACTACCCCCCTGCTCCAGCCCGTCTCTCACAAATGCACCTTTAACTCTAAGGGCATCGCTCACTCTTCCCCCTCAGGATGAGACAGGAGGCCGGGGAGGAGAGTGGGGGGCTCTGCACCCAGCACCCCGCCGGTAGATTTGATTTCCACCTGCAAAAGTGTATAAGACCCTCTTTCCTGGTAAACAGACAGGGCGATTGTCTAGTGCCTCTTGGGCTGGGAGGCGGGAGACCCAGGTTCTATTCCTGACCTACAGCGAGACCTTGGCAAGTCACTTCCCTGCTTGGTGCCTCAGTTTCCCCTCCCACCCTTTATGTATTTAGTCTGTAACATGTTTGGGGGCAGGGAGTGTCTCTCACTGTGTGTCTGTGCAGCCTTTGTCTCCTACACAACAGGCCAGCTGAGGTCTCTAGGGACTGTTTGGCTATAGGTACTGGTCTCACTTTAGAGGAAGGTTGTGTTTCTAAAGGGTTCATACATGAACATGAGATGTTATAAGAATACCACCGACCCGGCGAGTACTTTGTGTGACAGTGGTAGGCTGGTACAGGTGGTTCTTAGAACTGGTCAATTTTTTTTTTGTCAAGCCAGTTTTCCTTTGGAAAATGTCATTTTGATGAAACCAGATTTTCCCATGAAATTGTATCGTTCTGACGATATTTCCTTTTGAATGTTTTCTTTGAAAAACCTGCTTTCCAACTATCGATATTTTCAAAAGGGGAAGTTTTGATTTGCCGTTTCAAAGTGACTTTTTGTGCAGAGATTTACTTTATTTTCTACATCCAACAATAAAACGACAATAATAAAAAATGTAAGTTAAACAACAAGCACAAATTAAAAGTAATAATTTTAAAAAGGTCAAAATCAGAATGAAATGTTTCAACTGACCAAAAATGAATTTTTTAAAAATTTCATTTAATGCAAAAATTCAAAATTTTGGCTTTTGGTGCCAATTTGAGCTGAATTTTTTATTTTTTTATCTCAAAACTTTTCATGAGATGGAAACCCGTTTTCCAGCCATCTCTGGTTGTGAGCACATCCTTCGTAGTGTTATAGATGGTTATAAACTATGGTCCCAAGTAACTTATTGATCTGTTGGACTCCAAGAACAATCACTTAACCATATATTAAAGCATCTACTGCTCAGTTATTAACCCTTGATAAACTATTTGTAAATGGAACCTTCCGATACAGTGTGACCCCGGTAATAATGGGCAGGTTTTTGCCCCACTCCCATTCTGTTGGCAGTGCTGGGGCCCGGCTTTGGACTGTATTAGCTGGGCACTGACTCTGCAGTACGAGTCCACTGTCTGAACCCACAGCCCGTGGGACCCTGCTTGGGAATGACCTGCCTGCACGAATGACTCCTGGGAGGGAAGTGGCGTTAACATGCCCAGCCACCCTGGCTCTGCTGAGTGACAGGCTCCACCGCTGGGAGCAAGCACCTTCCTCCACGTTATTATGGGGATGCTGCTTTGTCAATAGGATTGAGGCCTCCGGCAAGCAGTGCCTTTGTTCAGCCTGTCAGACGGGTTCCCGCTCGCTCCCCCTCACCCTGATTTCTCCTTTGTGCTGCCAGGATCGTACTAGGTCCAGAAGGGTTAATAAACTCCCGGTCCCCACCATAGGACATCAGCAAGGTTTGAACCCAGGGCTTCAGCACATGCCTCTGTCTCCTGAGCTAAAAGAGTAACTCCATCAACAGCTACTACTAGTAGGCTGTTATACTACAATGGATGAGCTCAAGAGGCCTCAACCAAGACTGGGCAGCCCTGGTGCTGTGTGCTGTACAGACACAGTGAGAGACAGGCCCTGCCCCAAATTGCTGATAGTCTAAACAGACAAAGGGTGTGTGTTCTGAGGCATAAGGACATTAAGGGCCTTGGCCAAGGTCACACACGGACATGGCATAGCTGGGAAATGGACCCAGATTTATGGAATCGCAGCCTGCTGCCTGCAGCAGAAGCCCAGCCGCCTTCGTCAAGCCCCTAATGCAGATGCATTCCAATCAGTTTCAATCTGGTTTATATCTCTTTAGCTCCATTCAGTGACATTTAATATCGATTTAGTTAAACGGGTGCAATTTCCTAGTGTAGCCAAGGCCAGCCGGAGAGCGAGGGAGCCTGATGCAGAGAGAAGTGGAGTCAGAGAGACCCAGACGAGCAGTCGAGGGAGCATGAATCACCTTGTTTTCTTCCCCAATAAAAAGGAAGGTTTATTTCCTCTCTCTGGAGATTTGAGGCTCATTCGCAGGGGTGGATTCCTGCTTCCAAACGCCACCACCCCCAGCATCCAGCAAGGAGCTGAATGGCTGACAATGGACACAAGTTTTTCCTAAGGTTGGGTCCGTTTGTCTCCGGCCACCTCTCTAAGGACTGGCCGTGTGAACGTTTAGATGTCACATAATAACGTTCCCCCCGCGCCGCTGCCCAGCCTAGGGCAGACAGCTCACAACACGCGTGTTAGTGTCGTCACGTGACACGGAGAAGCGGCGGCTTTCTCATTTCCAAGCAACCTGAGAGGTCGAGATGGAAAAAACCAGTCGGACCATCCAGCCCTTCTCCCAGCCCCTGAACGTTAGCAGGAGAGTTTTGTATTTTGGTTTCCCTGGTTGGTTTGCGGTTTGGTGCGGCGGGGTGGGGCAGGGCAGGGGGTGGTGTGCTGGCTGGAGGAGGGGTGTGTCCCCCCCAAAGCCACCGCTAGCCTTTGTGTCTATGTGCAGAGGATGAGAGCGGGGCCGTGGTCGTCCAGACGGCGCCAGGGAAGGTGGTCACCCACCGGGGCGGGACCATCATCCTCCCCTGCCGGTACCACTACGACGTGTCAGCCCACGACCCTGCCGAGATCCGCCTCAAGTGGACCAAAGTGATGGACCCGATGTCTTTCGTGGACGTCTTCGTGGCCATGGGGAAGGAGCGCAGGGCCTTTGGGAGTTACCGGGGGCGCACGGCGCTGCAGGAGGATGGGGCAGGGGACGCCTCCCTCATCATCCGCAACGTCACCCTGCAGGATTACGGGCGGTATGAGTGCGAGGTCACCGATGAGCTGGAGGACGACACGGGCGTGGTGAAGCTGGATCTGGAAGGTAAAGGGAATCCTGGAGACACTAGCAGGCGGCCTGCAGGCCCCAGGCTGCCTTGCACACCCGGTTTTATGTCACAGTTTTGCACGCACACGTGGCCTGACTACCCAACGTGTGCTCATAAATCCTGTTCACAAAAGCTCTGGACTGCCGTGCCCGGCGACCGTACGGAGACCAAACGACGGTGCACGCCCACTTAGGCCATGCCTACACTACCACTCATGTCAGCAAAACGAATGTATTGGTGCAGCAGTGCCGCTGTGGGCTGGCTAGCGTAGGCATGGCCTTAGAGTCTGGTTTTGCGCTGTCTGCACTGGCGCTCGGGTGGGTGTAACTTTCGTCGCTCAGGGGTGTGGATTATTTACCCTCCTGACTGAGGTAAGTTATACTGAAGTAACCTGTAGCAGAGACAAGGTCCCAGTGTCCTGTCCATGCAATCAGAGCCCTGAGTGGAGGCCAGGTCGTTAGCATACACCTTTTGTCTGAGGGTCTCAAAGCATTTTTGCAAACAATCCTTTAGCCTGGGGAGGGAGGAGTCACCCTCTCTTTGCAGCCAGCCAGCCGGAGAGATACATGCCTTGGCCAAGGTCAGAGAGAATGACACAGCCGGGAATAGAATCCAGGACTCCTGACTTCCCCATCCTTTGCTCTAACCGCTAGATTTCACTGCCCCCAGGCGGCCAGGCTCCCCTCTGCCCTGCTGTAATCACTGCCTCACGCTTGGTTTGCTTTCCTCAGAGCGCATCCATGTAGTTTCAGGCGGGCTAATCCTGGAGCGGCGGGAGGGCGATCTGCATAGGACAGCACGCGACTGCTGGAGAGGTGCCCTTGGAGCATACCTCTCTATCACCTCGCTCTGCGGCCTGGCAGAACCCGGACACCGGCTCCGGGCAAGGTGGCGGAGGAGCCGGTGCCTGGGGTGGCAGGGCTGAGAGATGCAGCCGTCACTCCCAGCTGCGGTGCCGGGAAGCTGCCGGGAGGCAGTCGGGCTGGGTGCCGCGCAGCTCACCTTGTCCTACTTTCTTTTCAAAACCAAGCGTTACGTGCCCAGGCCAGAGAAAAACCCAGCAGCTGCCAGGGCAGATAAGTCCCATCGCCTGCGCCATGCCTGCCACCTGGACAGCAGCCCCATGGCTAGTGTCGGCTGGTATTAGGCTCAAGGTTTTGGTGAAAGTTCAGGTGGTTCCTATTTTACACAGGGGGGCAGGTCTCCCCGGGGGTTAGAGCAGGGTCGGGGGACAGCTGGGCACGGGGGGGAGAATGTGGTCAAGTGACTAGAGCAGAGGGCAGGGAGCCAGGCCTCCTGGGCCCTAGATCCAGCTCTGGGAGGGAGTGGGGGCTAGTGGTGAGAGGAGATGGGAGGGGTGACGAGAGTTAGGAGTCTTAAGTTCTCTTCCTGATCCTGCAAGGAAGTGTGGGCCGGAGGTCGGCTCACAGGACCAGGAGGCAGGAGGCCAGGCTTCCCCTGTGGCCCCCGGAGCAGACTACTGGTCCCTCTAGCCTGGTATCCCTCCTCCAGCAGCGGCCAATAACTGATGCTTCAGAGGAAGTTGGAGTGGGGGGAACCCGTAATACACTTGAGCAATTGTAAAGTAATGTGCTTGAGGAGGTGGGGGGGAGAAATCCCTTCCTGACCCCTTCAACGCCCAGCTAGGGCCCTGAAGCCTGCGAGCCAACGGCCCTTCTCCCGCCCTGCGCAGCTCCCCATTCGGCAATTGCTGTAAGGCCCCCCGAGCCAGCGCCTTGCTCTGCTTGCGTGTCCCTGTAGGAGTGATCTTCCCGTACCACCCGCGCCTCGGCCGCTACACCCTCAACTTCCATGAGGCCCAGGAGGCGTGTCTGGCCCAGGACGGCATCCTGGCCTCCTACGACCAGCTGCACAAGGCCTGGCTGGAGGGCATGGACTGGTGCAATGCCGGCTGGCTGGAGGACGGCTCCGTGCAGTACCCCATCTCCAGGCCCCGAGACGAGTGCGGCCGCAAAGACACCCCAGTCGGGGTCAGAACCTACGGGTACCGGCACAAGGACGACGAGCGCTACGACGCCTTCTGCTTCACGTCCAACCTGAACGGTAACAGCCCCTCCCCTCTGGGGGGCAGGGCCCAGGGGGCAGCGCTGAGATCCGCAGGGCAGTTGCACTGGCACCGCAGCAGGGCATGGAGCACGCTGAACGCTCAGCAAGAACGTAATACTTAGCGCATGCTGGGTTTAGCAGGGCGGGTCAGGTTCATTAGCCTTGCTTTACAGGGGGGAAACTGAGGCACATAGTGTGTGTGGGGGCGGAGAGTGGCCTGCACAAGGTCACACAGGCAGCTGTGGGAGAGCCAACTCCCCGGCCTTGTGCTTTGCCTAACGAGCCAGGCTGCCTTGATGCTCAGTGTTTTCTTACCCACCCCCCAGCTTCGACTCCGGTGCCCCATTCTACTAGGGTCTCAGCGCCACCCCCACACTAAGCTGTGTGACTCACACCTGTCACCCGGGCTTTGTTCTCTCTCCCCTCCCCAAGGGGGGAATTGTGCATGCGCCGCAGAGGGCTTTGGGATCTCTAGATGTCTGCACTGCTGTGTTGGTGTTGGAGAAGGCAGGGCAGAGCACCACCTGGAGTGGTGGGCGCTGGGCTGGTTTGGGACGGCCCCTCCTTCCTGGGGGAGTTCATCCTGCAGCTTGGGACTGGCCCCTGAGGAAGTTCTGGCCCCTGCCCAGACGAGCATTACCCTTGTGGCAGGGAGTTCCACAGGGCCTGTCGACCGGAGTTGTCAACCACCCTCCCCATCCTGGAACTTGAGGCTCTTTTCTTCCCTTGCAGAGAAGGCCTGAGCCCTTGAACTGGACTCCTGTGTGGGCTACTGTCCCTTAAGCTGATCCCCCTCCCCTGCTGGTGCGTGGCATGGCAGGTCCCCCGGGGGCACGGGGCTGGTTGAGCGCCAGCGGGGGCTCATCAATGGGGAAAAGGGTCATTGGAATTTCCAGAAGCGTTTCTCATTTCAACCCACCTTCATGCCGCTGTCGGCCCTCAGCACGGGCATGCGGATCCCGCTCTGGAGAGAGCCCGCGTCTCTCCCTACCAGCCCCCCCAAATCCCAGCCCCCCAGAGCAGCAGCTGTTCTCTGTCCCACTCCAGGCGCTGAAGGAGCAGGCTGCGTTCCCCCATCAGGGGACGCTGAGTGGGGAAGCGAACAGCCCATCCCGGAGCCTGGCCAGTAGCCCTGGCCTCACTGGGTTTGGCCCTTTAATTGTATTTATTCCTAGCCTAGCCTTGGCATCATCTCCTCCTCCTCCTCCTCCATACCCCAATCCAGCAGGTTTCAACCCTGTTTCATTTGCAACCCCCTAAAACATTTCAAATGCTGGAGCGGACCCCTTTGGAAATCTCAGACAATCTGCAGCCCCCCCCGGATCCACAGGCTGAAAGCCACTGCCCCAGTCCATCACTCAAAGACCCCAACAGCCTGAAATACCAGGGAAGGGGTTGAGGGCCGAGGCCCCAGGGAATTTAAACACCCTGTACCTGGCTGCCCGCCCTGTGCTCAGGTGCGGCTGGTGGAGTCCCTCCCTGGCTATTAGCCCGTGGTGATTGGCTGCTGAACGGGCCTGGTTCATTGCCTTGGGATTATTGGGAGTTAATTAGGTGCTAAAGCACTTGGGTGAGCAGCACACTGGGTGGTTGCAGCTCTCCTGGGCCTTTTATGATTTAACAGTCACAGTCGCTGCTGGGGGGAGGCGCAGATTAAAAGAAGGGGTGGGAGGGTCAGGAGCCAGGAACGCCAGCACCCCCAAGCGTGGCCCAGCCCATGCTGCCCCGGTGCACAGACTGTGGGATCAAGGCCTAGATCCTCCAAGTTAGTTCGGTGTCTGAATATCACAGAGGGTCTGGCTGGGGAGGGGAAGCGCCATGTTTTCCTAAGTGGTCTCCAGTCGGGGGTTCCTGGGGGGCGGAGTGCCCCTGCACCCTGCCACGGCAGCTGGAGTTATGGCCGTCTGGCAAAATCGCCCTCTCTGCACCCCCTGCCGCTGGGGCATCGCAGCAGCCCGGCGAGGCAGGGAGATGCTGTTCTCCCCATTTAACAGCTGAGGAAAGAGGCCCAGATCCTCAAAGGTGTTTAGGCTCCTACTCCCATTAGTTCCGATGGGAGTTAGGAGCCATGGAGGACCTGGGCTAACGTGACTTGCCAAGATCACACGGGGAGTCTGTGGCAGAGCTGGGACTTGGACCTGAGTGTCCAGCTGGCACTCGAGCCCCTTCTCTGTCCTACATCTCGAGCTGTGCCTGCAAAGATGGGGGCAGCTGAAATCAGGGGCCACTTTTGGCCTAAGCACTCCCCTTTGAGCAGAGCCAGGATTCTAGCTCAGGGACCCTGGCCCTGGTTCCTAGCCCAGTGCTCGCACCGTTGGGTAATGCTCCCTGCCAGGCCGTGTCGCTGGAGGGAGGCGTCACTGGGCTTGCACGGGCAGGATGATACCCTAGTGAGGCGCCCCCATGCACAGCCCTTACTTAGTGCTCTGCTTCTGGACACCCCAGACCACTTGCCAAAGGGGAGGCTCATTAGTCCCAAGGTATAGATGGGGAAACTGAGGCACAGAGCGGGGGGAGGTGACTTGCAGAATTGAGGTCAGCAGAATTGAACCTACCCATTGGACTACGCTGCCTCCCTGGGCAGTGGGGTGGGGATAGGCTCAGACCTGAGGCAGCTCATCACCTGAATGGTGCAGCCCTCGGCACCCTTCCCCCGTTCCTCTGCTGCGGATCAGTGTCACACAATGGCTTTTAAGCACCCAAAGGCTTCCCGGGGCTCCCCTCCGCAGTCATTGATCTGGGCCCCTCAGCTGCTGGGGTCTTGCCCTGCCTGCCCCTGGTGCTGTGTCCTGTGGAGGTCAGTGAGATCCCTCAGCTCTCCCTGGGGCGGGGCAGGGCAGGGGGTGCTGTCAGCGCAGCCCCATGGCTCCCCCTGCCCCTCAGCCTGAGTCTCAGCCCCCCCAGCCCCGGGAAGCACCAGCGATTATTGCTGAGGGGATTCTTCGTATCCACCCCCCCACCCGTCACCTAAGGGAGGAGGGAACGGCAAAGGGGTCCCTGCTGACACGAGCTAGGCAGTGCTCAGCCTCTGGGCAGGGCGCTTTGGAAAGGAGAGACCCTTCCTCCCCCCCAGCCCGCTCTCGGTAGCAATGACAGAAAGAGCCCAGGGGTCTCTGGTGGGACCAGGGGATGTGAACACGGTGTTGGTGGGAGGTGCTCCGAGCCCAAAATCCTCTCTCTACTCTCAGGAGAGGGCAGTAAAAGCCTCTCCCCTCCCCACGCCCTCATCTCGCCTTTGGGCGTTCAGTCCCGGTGGCCTGCTCAGTCCTCGGCCTCTCTGCTCGGCTTGCCAATGAGGGGGCCCAAGTGCCGGGGAGCCTCGGCGGGACGTGGCTGAGCCCCTCTCAACTCATCTCACCGACGCTCCCAGCCTGGGCTGCAGCTGGAGCATGGCTTTGGCTGGGCGGTTCTCCGCCTGCTGTCCCCAGCCCCGGCCTCCTCCTTCATTCCCCTTCTCTCTCTGGTAAAGGCAACGGGGTTTTCTAAGCAGTCGGATGCAGATGCAGGGCACCTTCGACCGGAGGCGTCTCTTGCTGTCTTTTAACGATGGCTTTTATTGCCGGGACAGCTTGACGTGCTGTCATCGTAACATTGGCTGCTACATAAATCTGCCCCATTAGCGCTGGTTTATTGGCTGCCGGGCGCGATGGCAGGGGCCGCCGGCGAAGCGCTGGTGGGGTGGAAGTGTGTGCTGTGGGCTGTATGTCAGCAGCCTTCGTCGCTCGCTCGGGCTCTGAAAAGCCCGGCCTCCATCGGGGGCTTTGTGACGGGCCGGAGCCGGGGACCAGGGGGCTGTTTCGCTGGCCTGTGTGCAGTGAGTTTGATGAGCCTCAGCCAAGGTCCTCATGCAAGGGAGTCCACAGCACTACAGCCAGTGGTCTCAGGGTGGGGGTGGGGCCTCCCTGCTGGAGCCCATGCTGTTCCCTTCCTGTATCCACCCCACTTCGTCAGGCTTTGAACCCCCGACCCCTGCCCCTCCAAGGCACTGAGAGACAAGAGGTGCAGTCCCTCCCCCTCCTTTTGCAAAGCCACCCCCAGCCCTCACAAATCCCAGCAGGACTCAATGCAGACAGAGCCCCCCACGCCTCGGGGGGGGGGAACCTCTCCCCCAGGGCAACGGTGCGAGAAACGTGGGTGTAACCAGCACCAGCATTTCCACCGTCGTCTGACTCTTCAGAGCGGCTCGGGGCGACGGGGTGGTACAAATGTGGGTGCGTTTACACTAGCTCCCGCTGTCAGCGGCACTGGCTTTAGTGCAACGAGGTGAGGTTTCCCCATGGACAAGGTCCTTTGTGCTGTAATTCCTGCCTCCCCGGGGCAGAAACCGGGGAAGGAGAAGCAGGTAATTGCACCAGAGAGAGGCACGGATGATGGATGAAGCCAGGGCTACACAAGACAAATCTGAGCTAGAGGGGCTGTCCCTGCGTGTAAATTACAGCACTCTTTGGCTGGCAGGGCTGGGGGGGGAAGGGAGGTGGAGTGCGGGAGAGGGGGCTCTGCAGATGTTTATTTAATCATGGCAGGCGGGATAAATAGCGGCTGTAATAGCTACGGGGACTCATCACCGGCCGCAGCGCTGCAGCCCCCATCAATCTCCATGTGTCTAGGAATTAATTTCCAGGAGCTGCCTTTATTCCTCTCCAGCCAGTCTGGCTCAGCTCCGGCTGATGAAGGCCTAGCCCTGCCTATGTGCCCCTCCCATCCGGCTGGGACTGGGAGGGCCGGTTTGCCCTTGGGCGGAGGGCTGGGAGGAGGTAGCGTGGCACAGCTGGATCCCAAAGCTGCACCAGCGTCCTGTGGGGCAGAGAGGGGACCAGGCTCGGGCGTCATGGCTGCAAAGGGGATTCTTTCTCAAGGCTGCTGGACACAGATCCAGCCTGGGGTCCTCTCGGACTCAGCGGCTCCCTGGTGCTGCCCAGTGTCTACAGCTCATGGGCCCAGGGGAGCTCTGTCCTGGCATCAGCTGCCGCGGCCCCCAGCACGGGGGATGTTGGCAACCAAGCCAGAAATTCAGCTCCCTCCCTGAGACCCATGGCTAACGGGGGCTAGTCACTCCCTTGACATGGCCCAGCACGGCACCTTCCCTTGCTTTCTTCCTTCCTTCCAACAAATACTAGACTGGGCCCCCTGGGAGGCCGTGTCCCCCTGCTAGGTCTGAGACCCCCCTCAGCATCTCTGGTCATGGAGAGGCCGATCCTGGAACTGGACGTGTAACCAGTCCCTCCTGGCTGCGCTCACGGTTCATGCCATGGTGGCAACGGCAGGGTCCCATGGCGGGGACCCCTCCCACCAGTTACAGGCATGATTTACGGAGGTGCTGAGCACCTGTGGTTCCCCCAGAAGCCAATGGGAGCTGTGGGTGCCAGGCCTTATGGGCTTAGGACCTGCCCACTGTGCGTGGCTGATGCCCCGGGCCCAGCATGGCCAGTCTTGGGCCTGGTGCCCTGCACCTCTTGGTGGGGGTGGGGGAAGCTCCATCCCTTTAACCTGGCTCCTTCTCTTCCCCCTCCAGGCAAAGTCTACTTCCTGAAGACCTACCGCAAGCTGAGCTACCCCGAGGCCCTCCAGGCTTGCAAGAAGAACGGTGCCAAGGTGGCCAAGGTGGGCCAGCTCTACGCTGCCTGGAAGATCCAGCTGCTGGACAAATGTGAGGCGGGCTGGGTGGAGGATGGCAGCATTCGCTATCCCATCGTCAACCCCCGGGCACGCTGCGGGGGCCAGGAGCCCGGCGTCCGCAACTTGGGCTTCCCAGACAAGAAGTACAAGCTCTTCGGGGTCTACTGCTACAAGAAGGCCAGCGAGGGGTCCCCCAAGAAGGCCAGCGAGGGGTCCCCCAAGAAGGGCAGGGAGGAGCCGGGCAAGGGGAGGCCTCTCCAGGTGTAAGAGGCAGCCGCGGTTGCTCTGCTGGGGACAGAACCATCAGACGTGCAACCATCAGACAAACGCCGCAGCTGGAGAGCTGCTACCATAGTAACACCCCCCCCCCCCCAGCCATCCCTTCTCACCTGGAGCCGGCTGTGAGCCATGACCGTGGTACTGGCCGCTGAGCCCCAGAGATCTGGCATTTCTTGGTAACAGCATCACAGGAAATAGAAGGGAACCCCCCACCCTTATCCCTTTCCATAGCAGGTGGGGCCGGTCCCACGGCGTGGCAGGCTGGGGCGGGGGGCTGTGGTAGAGCGGGGAAGGGGGCTGGAGGGGGACCATGCCAGCTTCAATTCACTTGCTTTCTCCTGCAAACGGACATCCAGCCTCTGCACTCCTGCCAGGCTGTGATGCAGCCGCTGCCCCCCTCGCTAACCCAACCTCCGGATTCCTTCTTGGCTTCACGCTGCTGCGGCTAGTGCTTGGAATCGAGTGTTTAGGCCTTTCTCTGCTTGCCGAGGGGGCAGGGCTGGGCCCAGGATCCCCCATGCCAATGCCACGCTCCTGTCCGGGGCTGGGGGCTGTTCAGATGTGCTGCACACCAGCAGCGCTAGGGTGGGTCCTGCTGAACCGGACAGGCCTTGCGCCCTGCTTCTCTGATGACTGTGGAGGATGGAAACTCAGAGGGGGCGGAGGCTCAGAAGATTAATGCCTGGGTCCAGCTGAGAGCCCTGGATGGGGAGCGGGTGGATGAGTGCAAAGTGTCTGCTGGGGATGGCACCGCCCGGTGGAGTTTACGGCCCATTCCCTCCCCACCCATTCCTGTCAGTGCTTCAGCTAACGGCACCGGAGCAAAATCAACAGCTTCCCCTTGCCCGCAGCGCTGTGAAGAGAAGCAGGAGACCAGCGGCGGCGGTGGCGTGCTGCTCCCCTTGCTGCCTGGGATCTGCATATCTCAGCACGGGTCATGCTGACAAAGCTCCCTAAGGGACCAGACGCCACATACCCAGCACCACATTCAATGCAAAGCCCTTGAAATAAGCAGGGATAGGCCTATGCTCCCTGAATCTACCCTCTGTAAGAGGCCAGGAAAGCAGGCACACCGAGAGCGGGTCTCTCTAACTTAAGCTTTTGTATTGCAAAACCCCCCTGAGGTCTGTATAAAACATCTGGCTGAATAATCCCATCTGCGGAGGTTAGTTTAATATTGTAACAAATCCATAGCCGTGTAGGAACTATGCCATGCTCAGCCAACTGATCCAACTTTTCAGTGACAGCGGGGACAGAACTCTGACCCTCCCACTTCTAAAACACTTTGGGGTGAAGGAGATTCCCCGTTAGCTCTATACAGTACAGGGCATATGGTACTCAGTGGCACAGCTCAGATTCCATCCAGTGGGTGGCAGTGGTGCCACACCCACACCAGCCTGCTCATTGCGATAGTTAGGGTGAATCGCCTTGCCTCTCCCCGCCACTGAGCACATGAAGCTAGGCACTATGGGAGAGCAGGAATCTGGCAAATCGGGCATGGTTAAGCGCAAACAGGCACTGATCACTGCAGTATGAAATTGGGCTGTGGGCGCTTCGCCGTGAGGGGCAGTGTTTATGGGTCGCCCAGGGCTGATGCTTGCTGCTGTCCCTTAAACAATCAAAGCACAGGTGGGGGTTTTTCCCCCTCCGGGGCAAAGAAAAAAGTGACTGGATTTTTCAGTCCCCGCAGTGCTGTTCTAAGAGATCCCCAGCCAGGGGCCCCCTGTGAAAGTGGGGGCTACTCTGTGGAGTCGGGGCGACCGATGGGGATTAACACAGCATCGCGATATAGGGCCCCATCCTGCCAGGGGCTGAGTCCCCTCAGCCGCCACTGAAATCAACACCATGCAGGATGGGCTCAGAAATGGGAGAGAAATCTAGTGAGGGGGCGGAGCCAGAGAAAGGGGCGGGGACAGGGAAAGGGGGCGGGGATTTGGCATCCCCTGCGCTGCCTCCCAGGACAGGGCAAGTGCCAGGGGTTGGACTCAGTCACCCTGGCGGCTTGTAGTGTGTTTCCCTGCTCGAGGCGCAGAGCCCGTCCCGGTGGCTGGGGCCATCTCCCCTCCCCCGAGGCATGCAGTCCATGTGCCGTCTCCCGCTCTCGCTACAACGCTGCATCGCTCAGAGACGCCGTGCGTGACTTCGTTTTCAGCTGCATGAGCTGCATGCATGGCCGGGCGAGGGACACCGCCAGTGACAGGGGAGGGAGGCCCTGGTCCCTCTGCTCTGAGTTTAGCAGCAGAGCTGACCAAGGTCTCAGTTCCCCCGACTTAGGGCCAGACTGCAACTGGGGACAGACCTGCAAGAGGCTCTCAGAGCCAGAGGTCACAGATGGGCTCCCCAGATCCGCTGGGGCCTCCCTTCTGGCCAGTGGGGGGTCGGTTGAGGTCGCTGAGCTCGTGAAATAAAGGCTTGGCTGCTGATTGAGAATGAACTGTGGACTCACGTCTCTGTACCTGGCTCTCCAGCTCCTGGGCCTGTCTCCAGTCGAACTTCCTGGCGAATCGGAACAAGGCACATTGATGTGCAAGGTGCTGCACGATGCGCAGGAAAAACAAACATGCAGCGGCTCTGGGGTGAAGCGCAGACATTGGTTAATGGCACCCAGCAATGGTGCAGGAAGGGGGGGAGTGGTCGAGAGCCAGTTCCAGCTGCAGGGGGAATGAGGGAGGGAGGCGGGACCCGCGCTCCTGCTCCTTTGGGATCGCTCAAGAACACAAGGTCTAGGGGCTGCTCCAGCAGCGCCGTGCCCCCCAGAGCCCGTTGCTCAGCACCCACTTGCCGGGGGGGCAAGCTCAGCCCAGATCACTCACCTTTGAGCTCTCCTGCCCAGCCCAGCCTAGCCCAGCCTGGCTGAGAGCGGCCCCAGCCGGAGGTGGCTGCTTGCAGGATGGGCGTGTGTCCCAGCTGGGCCTGCTCAGTGCAGGACCGGGAGTTTGCAGCCTGGGGGCCTGTCAGGCAGCCTCAGATTTGCAGGGGAATCTTATTGTTAGTCAGCGGTGTCATGGGCCTTGCAAAGCCAGTGGCCGTCCCACTTGGCTTCTTGTGCAGGGAGCCAGCATCGCCCAGGGGCTCCCATTAGCCCATTATGTGAGCAACTAGCTTTGTTCAAACTTCGGGCAACCAGGGATTTCCTGGGGCCAGCCCTGCTGGGGGAACCTGCAGCCAAACCAGCGCCTCTCCATGTCCGCGGCCCGGCCTCTGCTCTCGCTTCTCTGGGTCGCTCCGCCAGCGTCGGGAAGGCCCTCTGTCGCAGAACCCGTGTGTGATCAGCGCAGCCTGGAGAACATGGCTGCTGAGTTCTCTGCAGCACCAAATGCAAGCCAGGCGGGGAGCTAATTTGCAGGATTGCAGCTAATTTGCATAATTGCCCTGGTGGGGGAATTGCTTGGCGAGTTTTCTCCCACTGCAGAGGGTGTGTCAGGGAAGTCCACAAGCCAGTGCAGCATTCTGGGGTCTCCCTAGGAGCGTGGTGCCCCCACGGTGGCTTCTTTGCATCACTTACGCTCCAGGGCATCCCCTTACAGCTGTGCCATTGCTGACAGGCAGGGATGGCCTGGGCTGGGCTGCGTGGGGGGTGCCTCTCGGGGATGGGGATGTGAATTCACATGGCCTGATCTGGTTACACTGCTCATCAAAGCGGGGTGGGGGTCTGAGCCGAGACAGAGCAAGGGGCTGAGAAGGGGTGAGTGCATCCCCGCCCCTTGGCTCTCCAGGTGCCCTCCCCTCATGGTGGCCAAACCATGACCCCTCAATCAGGATGGGGAATTGGGCTTCCGGTTTGCTGCATTATAGAGATATGGGTCTGACCCCAAGTTCTGATCTGGACCCAACCTAGTCCAGGAGGGAGGTTCAGGCCCCCAGCGAGAAGATCCCAGCAGTCAGCAAGTGTGGCAGGATTCGCTCCCCTCCGCTGGGCTGATCCTGGTGCGCCAGATCCTAAGCAGGTACCACAGGCCCTTGGCAGCCCCGAGTGGCAGGCGTTGGCCCTGGTGGGCTCTGGAGGACACAGGGCTGGCTCAGGGGTGATTCTCCCCACTCCCTCTGCAACAGAACTAGCTGTGCATGTCGAGCAATGCCTGGGCCTCTGAGGTCCTGTTCGCAGCCGCGAGGAGGCCACTGGAAAATGCAGACTCTGCCGAGCGCGGCTCCCGGTGATTGGCGGCCCGGCCCGTCTGTCATTCCCAGGGGTTTGCCAAAGGGCAGTGCGGCTCAGCAGATATGGTACATCCCGTCAGTAGCAGGGTCAGAATCCGGTCGGGCAGGGAATCCACATGCTGCTCCTGGCCGCGGCCCCGGGAGCTAACCCCCCAGGGGAGCTGGAACCGGGCACCCAGGGCTGCGAAGGGGAGTCGAGCAGCATCGCAAAGGGTTCGTCTCCCTCCCATTGTGAGTGTCCGTGAGCGTGTGCACGTGTGACCTGCTGAGGAGACCCTCCGGAGGTGGGGGATGCACTCCAGACGGTTGAAGACTCTGGAATGTGTCTCTTTCCCAAGCTGGCTGCAGGTTGGAATCCCACTCCCAGAGGCAGCTGGAGGATGCGGGGGAGTCAGGGAAGTGGCTGTCAGGCGAGCCCCAGAGCTGCAGCAGGAATTGCTCTGCCAGGATGACTTGCAGATGGTGGAAGATACGCGATGGGCAGCCCCGCTGGCTGATGCCACAGGATGGGGATAGCCAGAGTGCCGATTCCAACCACTCCCCATGCCCCATCCCAGCACTGCCAGCTCCACCCACACTGCCAGCAGGGGGCAGTGAGTTGCAGACAGGCTGGGTCTCAGTGTGGGGGCACCTGGTCATGGGGAAAGGGACCAGACAGCTGCAGCGGCGGGTCACCATCCCGGGCTGGGTTGGAACCAGTCACTGAGAGGCGAAAGGCTCCACAGCCCTTTCCACCATCTCTGGGTCAGGTCCTGCTTCGTGATTTCACCTCTGCCCTGTTATTGCAGTTGCCCCGAGACGCTTGAACTGCATTCAGGGCCCCGTTGTAC